GTGTGTGTGTGTGTGTGTGTGTGTGTGTGTGTGTGTGTGTGTGTGTGTGTGTGTGTGTGTGTCAGCAGTGAACAGCACCCTTCCTTGGGGTGCAAAGATAGTGATCTTAGTCCCATGGTAGGCAGAGTTAATGGTGATACTGTGCTGGTGTCAGACAGCCCAATCAAAATGATGTGAGGGACAGAAAGGCCACTTAAAGGTCACAGGTGATGAGATTCCCAGTGGCACTGTTGACATCACCTCTGGTATCGTTCAGCATTTTAATCACAACTTTTCTTTTCCTCTGAGTGCATTGTTGCCCGTAAAGGTCTCCAGCCTTATCTCGAGGTATGACGAACACTGGAGGTGAGTTCAGGTCCTCCTCGCTGATGCTAGGCCCTATAAAAGGTGGAAAGAACATCCAAAAAGAAACACAAACCACAGAGACACTTAAACATACCTTCGAGATACCTTCAGTATTTGTTCAGCATCATGTGGAAGGCAGCGCTCTTGACCCTGGGCTTGTTGGTGGCTCTGGTAGACAGGGTGCGCCCCAATGACGGTCATCCCTCTTTTTATGGGGTGAAACTGTGTGGAAGAGAGTTCATACGAGCTGTCATCTTTACCTGTGGTGGTTCTCGCTGGAGGAGAAGCGCAGAAGACTCGGGTAAGACGGTGTGATTTTGTGTGCTGATTTTCTATAATGTGCTTTGTTTTCAAAGAATTAAACTGCAATATTGACAGATTTACTTTTTATTCTTTTTGTAAGCATTTATTGGAGAGAAGACCTATGATCCATGGAAGGCAAATCCCATCCCTCAACTTATGAGCGAGCAAGATCCTGCAGAATCCGAACCATGGAAAAATCCAGCATCTGTAGCAGCAGGACTCAGCCGCTCAGCTCGCTCACCGATAACAGAAGAGGTCCTGGAGGCTCTACGGAGCGCAGACAGGAAAGGACGGGACGTAGTGGTTGGACTGTCCAATGCTTGCTGCAAGTGGGGCTGCAGCAAGAGTGAAATCAGCTCTCTCTGCTGAACTTAAATTTTTCTAAATATACACCCTGTTCTGTTCAAAATGAAGAACTTTACTCCCATACGCAATTTCTTAAATGTCCACTTTCGTTCAACTACCTGTCCATAATGTGAATGTCTTCTTGATATTTGTTTGCTCTGGTCAATGTTGGTTGTTTAATAAAGCTTTGCTTAGTTGATTATGAAATGTTTTGCTTCGTTAAAAAGAAGAAAGTTATAATAAAGATACTTCATGCTGTTAGAGCACTTCCCATTTTCCAAAGGACTGTTTCACAGTTTTGGTAAGCATTTCAAAATTAAGGAAGTGGTGATGACTACGAGTACATGGTTAAGTACATGGCCTGCGATTAACTGAATTATACCGAAGTCATTTTCCTTCCTTAAAATGTAGTTGCTTACTCTGATTCTGCAAGGGCTTACAATGTGACAGCCCTGCAGCATATTAGGCTTATGATGCTAGAGTTTTGTTTTTTTTTTTCTTTTGGGAAGGGGTGGGGTTCTTTTTCGAACCTAGGACCCCTGTGGCAACAGTACTAACCACTGTTCCATCTTACTACCGTGTATTACTATAGATAAAGCTAAAATTGGTCATTTAATTAAGTAGTAATATGTGAAGCATGAAAGTGTACATATTGATTAATTAATATTTATCATCCAATAATATCACACATATCATATGATAATGCAATAGTGGATACGTTATATATTTTAGACATGTTTTGAAAACTTTAGTACAATTACTTATGGAATTATAACTTTTACTTAAGTAAAATCGTTTAAATACTTGTCTAAGCACTTTACAAAGTACTTAATTTGAGTGTAGTGCCACTCTTCAAAAAATAACACATATGTCTGAAGGCACAGGAGCCCTTGAATGTATACACAGTGTTTTCAGTGCCAGTTTTAACACTGTATTTACCTTGCTCATATCTCCTCTGTGCCATACCGGTGACAAAAATCACGGAGACGCTCATGATTGTGATTGTTGATGGGCCATCATCTCTGGTGACAGTGTTTTTCTGTCAACGCCCTGTCTCACTTCATACACATAGCTAACAGGCTAGAGGCGTTGAATATGGCTCCATCTAGTGGAGAAAAATGAAACCGCACAAACCGACGTAGGTATATTGTATAATCTGCTCCGTTCACGGAATAAAATGTTATCATAATTTTATAATCATACATGCATTATTAATTAATCGGCAAATGCTCATAAATGCTGAACACAGACTGAAATAACAGTAATACTTAAAGTTGTTTACGTCTCTTTCACCTCGCTCGAATACGGAAGCCGAACGTGATCATACAGATCACCCGGCTTGATTGCAAGGCATGCAATCTCTGTCACATACCAACTAGCATAGCAACCACGTAGATCTACTGCGATTAGAAGTTTGTATTTACCTACACAGACCGCGGATATATATATTATTTAATGTTAGTTGGTACATTGCATCTGCGCGGTTGTCTGTAGGAATATAGATCTACCACATCGGAGAAACCAGGTAAAACCTTTCGCGGTACTTTCAGGATGCTGTTAGCTAGCGGTGCTACTGATAGCTGCCGGGGGAAAGGGGGGGTTGGTGTGCGGCTGCCTTGTTATGCATATTAATTGAACCCCTTTAGCGGCTTTTGTGGCTTGGATTAAAACATAACTGTGGCAGCCGGGTAGTTGATGTGAGAAAGCGTTTCGGCAATCAGTGAATCGTTTACGTGTTACTGCGACGCCAGGCTAGCTTGCTAGCTGATGGAGCGAGACATTTGCGCCTTTACCGTCTGGGCCTCACGTAGAAAAGGTTCTTAGGGTCACGGTTGATAGTTGTTGATGTTTGGCTACTTATTCGTGAAGCCTTAAATGACCACTGGTTGTTGGTGGTGCTCGCCAGAAATGTCAAATGTTCATAAACGCCACTGCTTCCGCAGCACTGTTTTGCTACGCTATACATATTTACACTGACTCCAGCATTTTGTCTCAAATTACGATTCAAAGAACCGGTTTTGAGGCTATTTTAGAATTTGATGCTTTTAATAAGTCAGCATAATTCATTTGTTCTGTAGTCATTACATGGCGTTTTGATTTGTAAGATTACAGGTGCTGCAGTGAGCCCCTAAACGGGTAACGTGTGTGTGTGTTCTGTTGTAGGATGGAGTGGCAGCCGGATGAACAAGGTCTGCAGCAAGTGCTTCAGTTACTCAAGGATTCCCAGTCCCCAGACACAGCAACACAGAGAGCTGTGCAAGAAGTATCCTTACATCTGGCTCTGTATGTGTGTGTGTTTGACAGTTAGAGTGAGAGGAGAAGGTGTGAAATGTTGCCTCCCCCATGAGAGCTGGTGTGTCAGTTTGGAGGACAATGAGAAGATACTGTTTGTTCAGCTTGCATCAAGTGTCTGTGAAATGAAGGTCTGTGAGGATGTGTGAATTCTTGCTCTGTATTTATAGTGATTCAACTCCTTAACAGACTCTGCAGAAACTGGAACAGCTTAACCAGTTTCCAGATTTCAACAACTATCTCATCTTTGTTCTCACAAGCCTAAAATCTGAAGGTGAGTTTGTGCACATCAAATTTATAATTAAAAAAACAAACAAAAAAAACGCGTACTAGATTGTTTCATCTTTGCTTACCTCTCTGTATCTCACCACCTCCTTTTGGGTTTTCATGTTGCCTCTCTGCTGTCTTCCTTCTCAAGATGAGCCCACTCGCTCTCTGAGCGGTCTGATTCTGAAGAACAATGTGAAAGCTCACTACCAGAACTTCCCTCCCAATGTGGCAGACTTCATCAAACGAGAATGCCTCAACAACATCGGAGACCCTTCACCGCTTATCAGAGCTACAATCGGTGGGTGTTTCAGTCAGAGAGGGAAGCTTGAGAAATAAAAGGTTTAGTTAGATGGAGTTTTTCAGCAGTGTGAGTCAGATTATTATGGAGGTGGGTGAATTTTTGCAGGTAATATGGTTGTGTGGGAGCAAGCGTTGTATTTTCAAGATCTTTAAATGACAGAGGGTGAGTTATCAGGCTGGGTTTTAAAGCCTAATGTACTAGTGTGTAACTTTTTAACTCTTTATTATAAAGGCATTCTGATCACGACCATCGCCTCCAAAGGAGAGCTGCAGACCTGGCCAGAGCTGCTGCCTCAGCTCTGTAACTTGCTCAACTCGGAGGACTATAACACCTGTGAGGTTAGGGTTACATACCTTAAACACATGCACAGCCTTGCAATGATAATTTGGTACTATTTTGGTGGTAAGGTTTGTGTCTGTTTCTTTTGTAATTTGTTTCTGATTTGTTTTTTTTTTGGCAGGGTTCTTTTGGAGCACTGCAAAAGATCTGTGAGGATTCATCAGAGTTGTTGGATAGCGATGCTTTGAACAGACCTCTTAACATCATGATACCCAAATTCCTCCAGTTTTTCAAACATTGCAGCCCCAAGATCAGGTCAGTGAAATCCAAGTCTCAGTGTCTGAATCTTGCAGAATTAGCAGTTTTCCTTTCCTCCTCATCTAAAATCTCCTTGTTAAAATTATCTCTTGTTTTTTCTTTTTCTTTTTTGCCAAGGTCCCATGCTATAGCTTGTGTGAACCAGTTTATCATTGGCCGAGCTCAGGCTCTGATGGATAACATCGACACCTTTATTGAGGTGAGCAATTCAACATTTTTTACTTTTACTTACGTTTTTACGAGGATCGCAAAATTTTGCTCCATGAAGGTATTTTTGTTGTTGTTGTTGTTTGGGGTTTTTTGGGTTTTTTTTTTTGTGAAAGCCTCTTTTTGACTTCAAACAGAAGCTGCATGAACACGGCACTTTTTCAGCTTACTGTGAAAACACCATTTGGCGCCGCACCACCATCTGCTCAGCTGTGATATACTCTGCCACATGTGTTGCAGACAGTGCTGACAGTTTTGTAAACAATGAAGTCTGAGCTGCTCTGCTGGACAAACTATGTGATGACATAATTTCTAAAATGTTCCAAGCCGTTTTTTTTGCCCTGTGTTCTGTAAAACAAAAAAGAAAAGGTTGCATATTTATTCCTGTTGAGCGACATGTCTGCTGTGTCAGTGATGGGCCAAAATGTTCCTAGACTCTAGTTAGTTTGTGGATGTGGGTAGATTGCCAGCACATGTAAAATAATTAAACAGACCTGCACACGTTTTATAGTAAAGGTGTAAAGCCTCATAAAACCTCTAGAATAATAAATTAATAATAAATTGTTTTTGTTCCTTCACCTTTGTTGACCCTACCTGTCTTTCCTTCCCGTTTTTAATTTGTTTTCTTTCTGTTGTTTGTTTATTTTCTATCCAGAGTCTGTTTGCTCTGGCTGGGGACGAGGACAGTGAAGTGAGGAAGAATGTGTGCAGGGCTCTGGTCATGCTCCTAGAAGTCCGAATTGACCGTCTCATCCCTCACATGCACAGCATCATCCAGGTAAAGGCCTGACTCATCTCGACCTTAAACTATGTTTGGCTGTCGCTTTCTCATCTTCTTAATCACTTGTTGTTGGGTTTTTTTCCCCCAGTATATGCTCCAGCGGACGCAGGACCCAGATGAGAACGTGGCCCTGGAGGCCTGTGAGTTCTGGCTAACACTGGCTGAACAGCCCATCTGTAAAGAGGCCCTTTCTGGCCACTTGGTCCAGTAAGTGCTCACTTTCTCCCATAGCAAGGACTGGTTTAATGATGAGATAATTTCATCTGAGTAGTAATGTGTTTCCTTATCTTTTTTTTTTTTCCCTTTTCAGACTGATACCTATACTGGTGAATGGGATGAAGTATTCTGAAATAGATATCATTCTACTAAAGGTTAGCATCCTCTGGACAAATCTGGCATCTCTTCTTGTGTTTTGCTGTTTACCTGTGTTCTGCATTCACCTTGAGCTCTGATCTCCTCCAGGGTGATGTTGAAGAGGACGAGACGATTCCAGACAGCGAGCAGGACATCAAGCCTCGCTTCCACAAGTCCCGCACTGTCACCCTGCAGCATGAAGGAGGGGAGGGCGAGGAGGGGGAGGACATCGATGAAGATGAGGACGATGATGATGACACGCTGTCTGATTGGAACCTACGTGAGTTTCGCATGCAAAGTTAGAATTGAAGTTAGATTAGATTTCCTTACCAAAACAATTAAAATGGAGCAGAACAGCACAAAAAAAGGGATCCTGTAGGTTTTTTGAACCTGTGTGGAAACTGC